GATGTTGTACTTCAAGATGGATCTAGAAATTACTTTTTTTACTATGGAGGCAACCCCATTTTTCCTTGTCTTTCCATCTCTGGAGTAATATATCATATGGTCATCTGACTCAAAATGCCCCCATTGGAATGAGTTTTCTAACACAGAGTGTTATTTTTAAAATAACTAATAATCTAAGATGTACTAATTTTTTCTTTCTAAAGTAGATTTTACTAGTCAGTCATGGCAGAGTATTTGTGATTAGTTCACATAGGATCTTTGATTGTCACTTGTCTGTAAACCTGCTCCATCCAAGTGTAATTGCTAGGTGTTTCCCACAGTGCATCCAAATGTATACAGAAGGAAAAAAGAGATATAACACATCTATTCTCCTAAGGAAGAGTTTTGGAAAAATTTACCCTTAGGGTGGAGGAAAAATGTTTTTAAATCACTCAGCTGTAACCTCACATGCAATGTATTTTAATAATCTCCCACCCCCCGCATCTCTCCTGTGCCCATTTTTAGCTATTGGCCTTGAAAGTAGATAGGAGCACTTGTGTGGGCCAACAGAGTAGGTCCAGGAAGTGAGACTCAGGTGTCCTTTGAGTGGCTGTCTGTCCGAAGCCATCAAGAGTCTGGCAGTATGCCCCAGAGCCTCTGTGCCCTTCTTGCAGGGACAAGATTAATGAGCTCTACTGTAAGCGACAGCTGTTTTACTGGGAGTGCACGTTCTCACTCAAGAGGTTTGCTTCTCGTTTAATGTGATGAGTATGAGCTGGGCAGCTTAGGCATGAGAACAGGAGTGCATGTTTCACAGAGCTGCTGTCCATCAAGTGGGCCCTTCTCCAGTTGTCATTGAATCGTGCATGCTGGAATAGAATTGGACTCTGGTGTTTCCAGTGGAGGAGATTGAGAAACCAGTCATTCCCAGGCCCTTGTTCTGAGTCACCTCGGCTGGACTAGAAACCAAGCATGTTAATCATTTGCATCACCCAGGAGCTTCTGGGCCCTTTTTCAGAAACTGTAACTTGCGAAGGTGATAAGCAGAGTGGAAAATTTGGTAGAGCTTCTTTCCCAGGGATGAATACATAAAAAGCAAAATTTCCCAGGCCTTGGTCTATCATGTTGAACCACATGACAGTTGAACATAGGAGGAGATGGCAACATTTATCATGTCCAAAGATATTTTAGAAAAATACAAATACTGAATCAACCTTGGGAATAGTTCTTTAAAAAGCACTGTGCTGCACACATTTGGCTGTGCATATGCCCCTCTCTACCACGCTTAGCAGCCCGATTGTTCTCAGCACAACAGTGCATTCAGGTCTCCCAGCATTCAGCTCGAGCAGAGGCTGGGGACAGGCTGCCCACTGTGAGTGTCTCATTGAGCACTAAGACAAGCCACTACCTGACAGGTTTGAGGCCAGCACTCAAAGGATATTTATGTCTTTTCTTCGCCACTCAAATTATTAGTGATTCCTGCAATTAAAGCCACAGTGCTTAATAATGCAGGAATTGTGGTCCCATGGTTTCAACAGCCACTCTTCCCAGCAGCACTGCATAAATTTATTAAGAGAAGCTACTGTTTCATTCTGTAGTGTGACATGATGTTCTTTATGAAGGCAACCAAGTGTCAGCATTCATAACCTCATAGCATGAACTAATGAAATTAAGTTTCATGTTAGTCTTTAGCTGATACTTTAGCTGATACTACTCACAGAAGTCTAGTCTTGGTTCTTTTGTGACCTCTCTGCACCCCTCTGCAGCTTTAAAACCTTCAGGAGCTTCCAGAGCAGATGGGCCTTGCTGCTCCAGAAGAGTGTAGACCTTCTTTAGCCTGCAGTACCCAGCATGTCCAGGCAACACGCTCTTCTGCTTTGTCTGGAGAGAATGGTTGTGCCAGAAGCTTGCACAGGAAAGGTGTGACCAGTCATAGTTCTGTGGTTTTGGTTTTTTAACTGAGAGCTCTTTTGAATCCACTTGGATTTTAGCTTTGCCTATTGTACTAAGATACATTTTTTAGAGCTACAACTCTGCAGCTTTATCTGTAAAAAGAACCAGACTTGAGCGTATGATTAAGAAAGTTTATTTTTCATATGGAATTTCTATGTTCAGCTTTTTGAAAAAAGCCCAAACTGCCTTCCAGAATGGTTGTACCATTTTACAGTCCCACCAACAATGTATCAGAATTCCTTTCTCGCCACATCCTGTCCAATATTTATTACTTGCTGCCCTATTAGACTTTGCCACTGTTACTGGAGTGAGATGGTACCTCATTGTGGTTTTGATTTGCATCTCTCTTATTACTAGTGATTTGGAGCATTTCTTCATGTGTCTGTCTGTCATTCAAATATCTTCCTCTGTGAAATTTTTTCCATGTCTTTTCCTTATTTTGTAATTGGATTATCAGTCTTTTTCTTATGGTGGCCCAGGAGTATACCCTGAGAATATGAGAACTGAGGCATAAACTGAGATTTGTACACCAACATTCATAGCAGCATTATTCACCATCGTAAGAACATGGAAACAGCCCAGATGTTCAATGAATGGATTAAGAAATTATGGTACATTCACACAATGGAATACTATACAGCATACAAGAGCAATGGTTTTGTAAATTCTTACCCAACTTGGGAGGGACTGAAGAGCATTATGCTAAGTGAACTAACTCAGTCCAACAAGGATAAATATTGTACAAAACCATTATTGTAGAATGAGTATACCAGGAGGGGTAGGAGAGGCTGGAAGCAGAGGGATGTGGATGTGCAGGGAGAGGGAGGAATTAATCATTGGGTTGTACAATTTGATGGGTGGGGAGTGAGGAAAATTGAAAGAATTTGTTCAAATTTGTATTGAAATTTTGTAAATAAACTTGTAGAAAATAATAAAATGAAAGCTTTATTTTTACATGTATCTTTTCCTTTCTGTTTGTCTGAAATGGCATTGCAAGTGGTGAAAATGCACATGTACACAGGGGACGTGTACAAGAGGATATCGCAGATACCTCTGTGCCCCAGTTGTACTTCCAGGGTTCAGTCTGGATAGCCATTTGTAATGCTCTCCAGAAAGTACTAAGAAGTGATTCTTTATCCTCTTCTCATTTCTTGGTTTGAAGCCTTTGGACCAATAACTCTGTATTTATGCTTTATCGAATGTATATCTCCTAACCTTCCACAGGTGATGGAGAACCAGCAACTGTTCGGTGCCCTCCAGACCCTACTAGAGGACTTCCGGGTGGAGCTGCGGGAGGACGAGCGGGCCCGGCTGGGGCTGCAGCAGGAGTATGCCAATGACAAGGCTGCCTGGGACATGGAGTGGGCCATGCTCTGCTGTCGCCTGGAGCAGGTACCTCCCCGCTGGGCCTCCACTCACTCCTCTGTCTGAGGATGCCCCAGGGGAAGAAGAGTTGCCACGAGAGAAGAAAGAGCAGACACTCACTGTCTTTCCAAGATTCTATACATCCCCCCTTCTCATGAATGAAGTCCCATGTCTGCCAAAGAACTTGGTTAAGGTGGCATGGATTGTTCTATTTCTGTTATACCAAGTTGTATTTGGCCCCATTGTTCACCATGAAGTTACCAGGTGGAGTTGACATAATTCCAGACAGAAGCAAAGAAAAAGCAGATTGTGATTGTTCTATCACTGACAAAACTAGGGCCTGATTTTCTTTAGCTCTTTCAAAATATTGAAAATACTTGTAGATCTAGAAATCTGATCCATTTCTATCTGTATTATGGAAACTGAAGCTCAGAAGGGAAGTTGCAACCCATGTTTACCTAGACACTTAGAGATAGAATAGCAAAGTGGACCAAGTATTGCCCCATGAGACAGAACAAAGGCTCCTAAGATTTTAAACCATAGCTACAGGCATCAGAACTGAATGTAACAAGAAACACTCTTTTCTGTAAATCCTTGAAAGTAACACCACTTACCCCATACATTGTCTGTTTGCTCCAATCATTTTTTAGATTTCTTCCAGGAGGGGAAAGTCTGTATCTTTAATAACCTATACTCCATAAGGATGTGAGCTGCTAAGCCAAACACCAAGCCTCTTTGATGATTTAAATCCACTAGCAATTGTGAGGGAGAATTATGGGTAATCTGTGCACATTACAGCTTTGGAGCTCGGGAGTGGTGGGTAAGCTATGAGCCAGTTCTGACTTAACAGCAATGAGTGGGAATCTGGATCACACCAGGGTTCCCCCCCCCCTTTTTTTTCTGTTAGGGACCTCTCCAGGGTATTGAAGAGCAATGGTGTCACTCTGGAGACAAAGGTGCATCTGATACAGGCTGTGGTCTTTGCAATCACTTGTTATGCATCAGAGAGTTGGACAATGACTAAGGAAGATAGAAGGAGAATTGATGCCTTTGAGCTGTGGTGCTGGAGAAGAGTATTGAATATACCCTGGACTTCCAAGAAGACAAACAGATTCATCCTCGAGAGGGTTAAACCGGGCTGCTCCTTGGGGCGAGGATTCTAAGGCTTCATCTGACATACTTTGGACATATTGTAAGGAGGGGGAGGCCCTTGGAGAGAGACATCATGCTTGGGAGGGTGGAGGGATGGTGCAGAAGTGGAAGACCCTCTATGAGGTGGATTGATTCAGTGACTGGGATAATCAGGATGGGTATGTCAGAGGCAGTGTGATTGGCACAGGATAGAGCACCAAGTTGTGCCAAGGAATCTGGAGAACACCCACTTGGCCAACTGACTAGAAGAGATCTATATTTGTTTCCATTCCAAAGAAGGGTGACCCAACAGAGTGTGAAAACTATAGAACAATATCATTGATTTCACATGCAAGCAAGATTCTACTGAAGATTATCCAAAATCAACTGGAATAGCAGCACATCAGCAGAGAACTACTAGAAGTATAGGCTGGGTTTAGAAGGGGTCGTGGGACTAGGGATATTGTAGCTAATGTTAGATGGATCTTAGCTGAAAGCCGGGAATACCAGAAGAATGTCTATCTGTATTTCTTTGATTATGCAGGGCATTTGACTATGGATCATAGCAGTTTTGGTGTCAGGATTGGTGGAAAATATGTCAACAATCTATAT